ATGTAACGTACTGACAGTGTAAATAATCCATATCACTGGCTCCACCACTGTCAATAAATAATATTAAAAAAAGTTAAACGAGAATCTCTCCAACTTACTTCAATGGGTCACTAAAACATGAATGTTTAATACCAAATTACATTGAATTACCAATGAATTGAAAAGTCAAGAATATTTTTACCTAATTTTCTGCCAACTCCCGTTAATTTTTATGGAATAAATCAATTTTTTGTGTCACGGGACCTGAACAACCCCATTTTCGAGGCGCTGCGAAATTGGCGTTTTATAAATTGGCGTTGCTCGGGCATGTAATGTACTATTACACACCTCTGCACGGAAAGTTCATACTTTCCTCCCACTCATCAAAGAGCAAAATACGAACTTTTCTTTGCAGACGTGTTCAAAAATCGTACGTGCACCTCGGGTGGAAAGTCTTGACTTTCCGCCCTTGATGCACAATATTCTAGAAATTCACAGTTTGATCCTTTCATCAAACTGTGAATATTCAATGATGAAATTCCAGTAAATTTCAGTGTAACTGTCAACTAGCTGTCAAAGCTTTCCAAGAAATAAACCAGAAATTTTTGCCAAAAATTTTTGACATTCTACGAAGAATCCAGCACAATTTATATAGATCTAACTTGACTGCGAAATTTATCGATATTCTTAATAGGTATCTTTATAAGTATCCCATCGCTTGAAACTTCCTGAACGTTTATAAAAACCATGTTCATAAAATATTTCTAATAGGAATTTTGATTTTTACTTCCGGATAGAAGCACTGTAATCAATGATTACTAGTGGTTACTAATGGTTACTAATAATTACTAATGATTATTAATAATTCAAATTCAAGTTTTGGATTTATTGTGTTATATCGACCCATTGTGATCCAGAAAATCCGAAAGTGCATACGTTATGTGTGTATGTATGCGTGTGCTAAAATTTTCCTTCAATTCTTCGCTAATGAATCCGTGGAATTAAATCATTCCTTTTTCTCAAATATGGATATTGTTGAGCCCTATCCATCGACATTAGTTAAAATTTAATTCATCGATTAAATTTTTAAATTGTCGAATTTTTTTGATCGTCGGTTGTCCACGATAACTGAAAAAAAAATTTCTGAATTGATTGAATGATGGCTTAAAGAATTTGTTTGGGTGCCCTTGAAACCGATTTCGAAGATGACGGCGGTAGCAATAATTGTTATTCGGATTTATTTGAAATTTTGCAAAAATTTTGTATTTTTTGAAAATCAAAATTCCGGGGATATTTGTGAATATCATGCTTCAAATGAATTCAATCATACCTTACAATGTTTTTTTTAATGCCATTGCGTCGAAGTTAAAAAATGATCACGATAGTTATATTGGTTCATTTAATTTTTATAATTGTTCAAAATTTCTAATTTTTCATGAATTTCCCTGGAAGTGAGCTTTCTCATGGTTTCTTCAAACGTGATGTTTCAAATTCAATCAAGTATGTATAAATTAAATTTTTCTATCAATATTTTATCAAAGTGCTGAGGGGAGAGATAAAACCGCAAAAAGGCAATCGGTTGTTTTAAAGGTGCCGGACACCCTCGATTTTCAGACATACTGATCACTAGCGTTCTGATGCGTAATTCGTATTTTAAACAATAAAATATTATCACTAAACGTCAAGTAAACAATTTTCACTTAATGTTAGGCATTGGAATGATTTATTATTAACAATTAAATTGTTCAAATCGCCCTAGCACCCAAACTATGAAGTATAGACGAAAATTTTCAAATCATGAATCATCTAGAATTTAATAAGGAATCATTTTTGTCAATTATCAATTTTACCTATCTCTCGTAGATTCTAAGATATGAGCAATAAACTAGTTACGCGACCTGACACAGCGCTCTGTACTTGCGGTGCGTGGTGGGTCACACAACTCTTTTCTTGTTCATATTTCGAAATCTAAAGGAGATATGTGAAATTGACGAAAAACAAACATTATTCCTTATCAAATTCTAAATGATTCGTGATTCGAAAATTTTCGTATATCTTTCATAGTTTGGGCGCTAGGGTGATTTGAACAATTAAATTGTTGATAATAAATAGTTGCAATGCCTAAAATTGGTTGGAAATTATTTACTTGACGTTTTGTGATCGTAGTTCATTGTTCAAAAAAAGAATTACGCATTAGAACGCGAGTGGTCAGTCGGTCAATTTAGAAGCGCTTTTTTGGGGGTGTCCCGCAGCTCTATGGGATAATAAGAATAATGATGATGATAGCATTCCACTAAGTTAAACATCTGAGAAAATTAGTTAAAAAGGAATCTTATTCAATTTAATAAAATGAATTAAACAGTGAATTATATATGATAGAAGGAAATTATGTGCAAAATAATCATTCGGAAGCATATTGCTAATTTATTAGCAAAAATAACTACAGTATATGCAATACACGAGCAATTTCCCATTTTTTTACATGGAAAATTTTTACAACAAAAAATTCCAATGAAAAATATTCAAATCCTCCATAGAATTACTGAATAAGCCTTTTGATTGTAGGATTACTAGATTTTCGAGCACATTCACAAGTTGAGGTATAATTCATCATTTTTTACACCTCAAATGAATATGATTATTAGTAATAATATTTATCACAATTTTCACTATTTTTTCGAAAAATTTGCAGTTCAGGGAGCGAAATACATATTTCCTCGAGATTATTTAAATGAAAAGCTCTATAGGATTGCTCATAGCATCCACGGAGAGGATATAAAATTGAAAATTACAATGTGAGCATAGTAATCGAAACCATACCGAAACAACTTTAAAATTTGATTTATCTAAACCGAATTTTTACTCGTCTCAAATTTAATTTTACTTTCATTCTATCACTTTCTACTATACCGACTCGCAATTTTTACTATGTTCAACAGTAAATTTTAAGTGTGGCGAGTATAGTCCTCGATTACTATGTTCACATAGCAAAAAAAAATTTCACATGTTTTCCGTGTACGTCTATAGATTCAATAACTTTTACTCCAATCAAAAGGACTTAATTGAATTTTTATTTCGAGTGAAATTCCATTCTCGACTCTGCGATGAGAACTTTAAAAATGCTAGATATGAACAAGTCCCCCGATTAAATGATTCTCCCAAAAAACCGCTCAATCACAAGAAGCTACGTCACTGATGACGATATCGAATTTTCGATGCTATGAACCCAATGCGTTGCGCCCTTGGTGGGGGGCCCCAGCGTTGGGGTGTCCCTAAAAATACCGAATCGATATCGTTGACTGCCCCCGAACAACTCGACCGGTCACCATAAACCAGATAAGCAGACTTTCATTCAAATATTTCAATTTTTTTCTCTTACATAAGCGTCATTCCCCACATTCTCCTCGTCACCCAAATCTTCAACTTCAGCTCTCGAAGAAATTCTATTTTACACCTAGAAATCATTAACGAAACGTTCCAAAGCCCAGCCCATCCTTACCCTCAAGAAAAACCATGAAAGCCCACTACAGAATGAAAATCTCCACTCGCATGTGACAAAAAAGCTCCGGATAAATTTATCCCACTCTAAAATTTTACTTTCCTAAAAATACAATCCCTGACTCAATCGTCGACTTCGCGTCATTATATATTCAAAATAAAAAGGTGAAAACACGGTGTTCCCTCGAACATTAAAATATCGTGGGCGCCTTTACCATCACATAAAAAATAACATAAAAAAACAACTCCAAATGTCCCCTTTCGTTGAGTTTCGAATTTCACGCTCATCCCCTCTTGGGTACATCGAAACGTCGGTGGAACCCCCGCCTGTCTCCAGGCGACTGTATTCTGAAATCTCTTGGAGACGAAGTCAATTCAGATTTCTTTTTCAATTTCCATCAGCAATGAAATAAATCATTGTGTTTTCACCCCTTTCCACAGCTTTTCCTCTTGGTACCCCCTCTGTTTCCTGTCTTCATCCAATTATCAGCGGGAGAACTTCACTATTGATTATTTGTTCCTGGAATAAAAATAGGGGCAGGGGCGCGGTAGAATAGCACACAAGGAGGGTAATTTAAAAAATAAAGTATTTTTCATTTTTCCCTTTTTAATGAAAACGGGGAAAATCGATCGTATACCCACGCATAGCGAGACACTTTCACGAAAGCAGCACCCTCGCTCGTGGGTAGCCCAGGAGGGGCTACACCATGGGTTGGATGGAATTGCCGGGGGTTGCTCTGGCACAGCACGCTGTAGCGGAGGGCAAGACGAAGTATAAAACGTGAGGGAGACAGTGCGTTTGATACCACGGGATACGGCCTTGCCTCGCGCCCCGTTCAGTTGATAGGGAAACACTGAATCCGTGGGGCGGCCGGTGCGGGGGGAGGGGGTGTAAGGAGGGAAACAGCGAGGGTCTCGTGGTTGGAACACGTAAAGGGAAGAGAGACGAGACGACGAACGCGAAAGGGAGAGTTACGTAGGGTAGAAAAATAGGGGAGAAAGAGGGAGAGGAAAAAGAAATAGGGCGAAGAGAATGAAAAAATATACCGAAAAATTGTATCGATGCATGCACCAAATTTTCTGCTCTTGTCATCATTTTTTTCATTCATGGTAAAAGTTAAACGACAATTTTGCAATCATAATGAAGGGAGAACGATTATTTGAATAATAAAATAAATGGAAAATAAAAGTTTTTGATGAGAACGTTCTTTTTTTCGGAGAGATCATTGTCGTCATGATGAGTCAAATCAATTTTGTGAATATTTCTTGTGCTGTTGACCCAACACTTGAGGCACCCACAATACATTCGATACTTTAAAACTCGATTTAATAACACGTACAGCCTGTGGGGTTCGAAAAACCCAAGAAGACTGGCGTGCGAGAGGGAGAGAGGGGAAAGTGTGTGTATCGCGGGCAGAAACACACGGGTCTACGGGCAGGCGAGGCCACCGCGTGGTGGCGTGGGGGGGTGCCGCCCCCCCGTGGGGCTCGGTTAGGTTTGTCTCTCCCTGCGGCCCCCGACAGTCCCCAGTCGTCCCCCTGCACTGATATCAGTCGCGACTCGAGCGAGGGAGCCACAACGTGTGCCCCTTGCGCTTACCGAATACTCTGACTCCAGTGAGCTGGTGAAAACGCGATTTGTTACATCAAAAATATTTATCGTACGTACTTCTTCATTCCTCAGGTTGTGCCCTAAAGAGTTGATTCAAGTGCTTGGAATTATACTCACCTACTCATCTTTAATATTGAAGTAAGTGGAGATCAAAGAATTATTTGGTATAATGTGATAGTCAAAATAATTGTTATACAATTAAAATTTCAATTAGAAGGAATTTTAGCTGTTAGTAATGAGAATATTGATAATAATAATACTCCTAGGTGTATCAAAATATCAGAGAAATCGGACGAACGCCAGAGACTGCGACTCATTGTTTTTCTTAACATCGAAGGTGAGTCCATGAATGAATGCGTAATATCGAAATTTTGGTGTACGGGTAAATACTCAACTATATACACGTAGGCAAAATGGTATCGGTATACACAGTTTTGTCGCAAGCGTGTGCCAAGCGCGGTATTAATAGACAGCTTAGCTGTCTGTCGTGTGCACGCGGGTCGCACCGTGGGGCCGAGGGCAGGGGCACGGACCATTAATCGAGCACTGGATATTAACGAATTTTTCAATTCCATCGGCGGCATTATTTCTATCATTTGTTTCGGGTCAATCTCTTGAATCATTTACGTATTGTGAAGAATTAAATAGCCCGAGCACACGAGGAGGAGATTGGTAGTCGTGAGGGTACCGGTTTCTGCGGAAGTTTTTGCCATGCGAAAAACATAACAATCTCCCCGATGGAAATAAAATTCGCTGAGACATCAAGCCAAGAGGCAACAACGCCAAGTATTACGAATTAGAGTGGAATGTCAACGATGAAACGTTTTATACCGGAAGGCTTCAGTGCATGCATCAACGGTGCTAATTATAGACACGTTGGGCTCCTAATCTAAACTGTTATTTCCCCCGCAAACACGTATGCACTATTGAATTATCCGCAAAATCTCACGGCTTTATTGATTTCATAATTCTTCCCCTTTGGAATCTGAAAATTGTCCCTTCGCAGTCATTTGTTTCGGAGGGCCCCACCCATCGCAGATTTCTCGATATTCCATCGAGAGATGGATGAGGAAAATAGGCGAAGGATTATGGACTTTGATGCGAAGAGAGGAAACAATAACGAAGAGGGTTTTTGTCCGTTCGAGGAGAATTGTGATTAATAAAAGGAGGAAAAAATCCAGATTTTTAAGGGCCAGAAAGAATAGAAGGCGAAGTTGCGCTGAGGGCAACAACGAAATTATGGATCGAGCCGATGAAACCTCCCTTTTGCGCATGACCGCATGGTCCTTGCGTTTATTCCCCCCTCGACCCCCATTTCTCCCTCCATCCACCCCCACAGCCCGAATAGCGTTGACTCTACCCGCATTCCCCCTTTTCTTCTCTCCGAGTGTCTACAAAGTTGAGTTTACAAACATAGAGGAGGAAAGAAGGAGAGAGACAGAGGAATGTGGCGCAATGTTCGCGGGACCATTTTAACACGTACATAACGTTTTTTTCGTATACGCGCGCCTATAAAATTAAACTGTAGGCAACACGTTGGAAACGTAACGCATTAGAGTCACTAATTGCTAGTGGTTTTAACAAACTGGGATTCCGGCCCATGATGACGTATGACGGGAAACAACTGGGGATTGAATGTTTTCGGGTGTATCATGTGGTTTGGAGTGGTTTAGATAATTAAACCGTCTTTTTCAGGATTGTTTTTCAAATAGAAAGGAAAATGGGGGAGAAGACGTTCAATTTGACTTGGAACAATCACCTGGCGAATCTCTCTGGGCTGTTCGAGGGACTCTATAAGAGTGGATCTCTCACAGACACGACACTGTCTTGTCAGGGGGGTATGCTACGTGCACACAGACTGGTTCTGGCAGCATGTAGCCCTTATTTCGAGAGGGTTTTCAAGGAGCATTATGGAGAACAGCCGATTCTTATTCTTAAAGGTAAGGTATCAGGTGGAATTTTATCCAGATAGCTATAGTATTAGATTTAACTGCAATCCAGAGGCTACGTTTTTGATGATGAATTTACCACTAGTTTACCGTGAATTTATTCTTAATTCGTCATTAATTTTACAATGAATACTCAACCTATTACTTATAATAGCACAAGAGCTTCAAAATTATTGAGTATTTTTCGATAGGTTCGTTGCAAAAAAACAAAAAGTCAAGTTTTTCAAGTTCAAAAAAACAAATTTATATCTGTAAACGGCCACTCTACATACACGGAGAGAAAAGTTGGGTAAAAATTACTTTGGAAATGGGGACCAATTTTACAATATGAATGGTAATCGTGGAGCGAAATGTCAAATGTCATGTTCAGTGAAAAAACACTGGTTTTTAGGGGATATCTTACGATTATCTCGGTGAAAAAATACATCTATGGACGCAAAAATTATCCTTTTGTTTAATCAAATTTCCAACATTCGCAGGGGATTGTTTGTTTTATAGCCGTCTGAAGGTCATGGGGACGTATAGAAGTGAATTTTTACCAAACGAGTTCAGTAAAAATCAATCTCTGCTACAGAAAAACTATACGAAAAATTAGAGCAATTGTTCATGTTTACTGGGATAATTTTTTATGGGATACGGGGTAAGTTTACAGTTTGCGTACAAATCACCCTCACATTTTTTTTTAGCGTTATTTTACATTGCTTCGACCCGGTTAGGGTATACTGCGATGATGATCAAGACTTTAAATGGTTAGATCGCATCATTCTACCCGGCCAGGATTTGAACTCGGAACCTTTCGCATGTGAGGCAACGAACTTACCCACTGCGCCAAGCCACCGGGCCCCTCACATTTAGTAAATTTCCCCGGGACAACGGAGTGAAATCCACTATTAATCACTATTAATGACCATCAATGACCATCGTCATGAGCGGTAATTACGGCGGCTGAGAATCAAACCGTATGGTCATCAAAAAATGACGATTGACTATAAGCATGAAATCACCAAATAAATTTTAACAATCAATTTCCATCTATATAGATGACCCTCAATTTGCAGTACTACTTCAACGATTTCCACATTGTTGAAAATTTTTAGCTGAAATTTCCAGTACATTTTTCGGAGACTTTTATCACATTTAAGTTCCACTGAAATTTCAAGGAATTTCGTCAGTAAAAATTCTTAATTTCGGGAAAAAATCAATGAGAACTGTAAATTTTAGTTCAATAATTTTCTAAAAATTAATAAAACATTCATCGAAACATACTCTTGAATTTTCAATGAAATCTGAAATTTTATCATTTTTTCCCTTTTAAATTGCATTTAGTGGTACACAGAGAGAAATTTTCTAGAAAAATTCTAGTACGAGTACTGGAAAAAATCACAATCCACTGGCTGTGAAAAATTCTAGTGCTGTTAACGTCAAATTTCTTGGTATTTCTGGTAAAATTTCGGAGGATTTCTGTGAAATTTTCACAGAAATACGGGGAAAAATTCACGTTTTCCCCAGTAAAATTTCTAGTGCCGACACTGGAATTTTTTCCTGGCCGTCACTTCGCGCCTCTTTTCCCGTGCTAGTACTAGAATTTTTGTAAAAAATTTGTCTCCGTGTACTGTTCTGAAAATTATTAGTCAACTGTCCATGAAAGGTCATTTTTTTATAACAGTGTATCATTGAGACCGGGCCCGTTGATATTAATTAATAAATAAACTAAAAAATGATAATAACTAATACAGAAAATAATATACGATAATAGTTCAATTCTATTAGAGTCTTCCGATCGAACTTAAAAAATGACTCAACAAATGACAGAACTAAACATGACGGTGATTTTACATACAAAATTCGGTCAGGGTCAGAAGCCGGTCATTTACACCTGATCTGTCTGAAAGGGAAAATTACGGTCATTCCACATTTTCAGTATGATTACAATCCTCGCCTTTGTTTAGAGCTATAAATTTCACACTCTCCAGAAACGTCATGTATCAACTCGTTAAGTCATGGTATTTTACCTAATGAGTTGGTAATGGCACGCATCAACATCATTTACCACGAGTTATGTAAAATTTTACACACGTGGAGCATGTGCAAATTGTCAGTTTATAGGCTGGCGTGCGACAAAATAATATTACAACGCTCCGTGCAGTGAGGGTTGTTCAATACACGCATAACGGACCGGGGTCATATAATAGTATTTAAAGTCGCCTAAATAAACTCCAGTTGACTTCGGCCTTTGATGAGTGTAAGAAATTGATCCATTAAATTCTATCTTCAATTCATTTTTAAACAGTAGTCTCTCGTTTGACTAGGGCGTTTCGATCAGTGGCAACTCTGCGCATTCGAAAATATTTTACTCTCCATGGTATTCGGCCAGCGTTCAACTAACGCAATGCTGCCGCTTTCGCACAACACCCGATTTTTGAGCACGTAGAAGCACTCATTATTTATTACAAAAGTTTCACATTGACGATAATTTTCATATTGGCTACAGGGTTGTTATTTATTTTTTTCTAATTTTTGCTTCAGAATGGAGACAAAATTTTGTATTTTGTCATTTTAATTGGAAATGATATAGAATGGTTCGAAACATAAAAATAAGAAGTTTGGGAACCGTGTATGTATGTGAACACGTCCGCCGCCATATTCTCGATGATCAATTTTTAGAAAATCGAATAATTAAGTGGCCAAAGTAAACAAAAATCAAAACGCGCACTATATTCATCTCGATGTCGTCTACCTCGAACAATCAAAATATGTATACCCATTCATACAAAATCTTCGAGACATCGACATTTTTATGATTTTTGGGGTATATTTGTTCCTATTCATATTCACTTTCATTTAGAAGTCATTTCAGATTTTAATCTTCAAAATTCGAGTTATTTTTATACTACTTTGAGGGTCCATGAGGGGAATGCCCATGGAATAGCGTCCCCACGGAGACGCATCTCTGTAACCAATTTTTATTTATTTTTTATTAACACCAATTAGATTGCAAGATTTTCTCGCCAATTGCATTTGCTCTATTCTGATTAGTTACACGGTTGCGTCTCCATTTGGATTTTGCTCCACGGGCATTAACCTTAACGATAGAAGTGCGTAAATTCCTCATCTCCGGCTCGGTCTGAGAATGTCACACTCGTCAAGAACGTAATTGGCGCACTTGTAACACAATATACTATACACTAAAATATTTGAAGAGTTCGTTTGTATGCAGGAAACCTTGAAAAAAAAACTCCGATTAATTTTAAGGCTCGATTGGAATTCGAGAAATTATTGATTCCAACTAAATTTTGATCGAAAGAATTCACCCATGAGACGAAATTGAAAATTGATAAATGGAAAGTTTGAATTCCATTTGTCAGATGCGATTCACTGTTTGTAGCCCCTCTCCCCCTTCCATACCCCATTATTAGAATAAGCGAATGCAGCAAATTTGGCAATCCGTAGTTCTTGATTACGAATCCCCTAAAAGGAAAGGCATGTGAGCAATTCAGCATTAAAAAAAATATATGAGCAATTCCACGTCAAATCCGAAATGAAATAAATTTTATGTTTCCGATTGTGTTGGGGATTTTTTTCTGGCGAGTACATGAGACCAAGCTCTCATAAAATGTTTTTCATTGCTCAAGCCCAAAAAGGGCTCTTTTNCTTCGGCGGCCTCGTCTCCGACTCACGTGCCTCGTGCGCCTGTACTCCACCAGCGTTGAATTCAGCACTTCTCCGCCTTAGCACGTAATATACTATTCATCGCTTGTGCTTAAAGTGAAAATTCAGTGCGCAAAATCCCATTTTCTACACATCCTGATGAAAAAGAGAGATCGACATTCGTGGGAAAAGTGCCTGCGGCGAGCGTTACACACCCCCTATGAGTCAGAAATACTACATTACATGCCTGAGCCTTGGAAAACATCACCGTCCCCACGTGCAAGATTGCCTTCCGAGCCGACGGCGAGGATGGCAAGCACGTGGGGGAAGGTGATATGTTTTCCATGGCGAGGTGTGTATATTAATTTTACGACAAAATAGTCGCTCGATTTGTCGACTATTTTTTATCAAAACATAAATTACGTTTTGATAAACGCAATTTAGGTTTAATAACGCTAATATGTCTGCTGGCTTTTTTCCGTCATGAAAATCGGAATTTCGGTTTTAAAAAGCGTATTTTACGGTCAAAATGAAAATCTAAATTACCCCTATACAAGGCGTCTTTTACGTTTATCGAAACGTAATTTACCACAGAGAAAAAAAGTGGATTAGCTTTAGAAAATAGTTTCTAGATTTTAGAAACTCCTGTTCTTACGCTATCCCTGCACTTACGCTATTACTGTATGCTCCTATTTATCCCTGGTGGGATCATAAAAACTAACGAATTTGGGAATTGTTTTTAAGAACAAATATTTTTTAAAACCGATGCTACATTTTTCTTATTTTTAGAAAATTTTCAGATTGAACTAAAAAATTGTGGCTGAGGTATTTAAAGGTTGTAAGTGTCCCATACATAGGGACAGGTGCTCAAATGTTGGAAGGTTCAGATGTGAGGAGGGGGAGTTTCACATATGGGGATTTTTTAAAGAGGGGGTTAATTAATTGGAAGAAGAGATTTATATGGGTGATTTTATTTACGGGAGGGGGCTCGTGTATGGGGGGTTCATATATGGGGGGGG